GAGGAATCGGTGAAGAGAGGAATTCTTTAACTTCAGCAGTATGGGAGGGATGGAGTTCAGGATGAGGAGTGAATGTGTACGATAGATGTTTAGCAAACTCTTCTGCTCTATTCTCATCTGACGAAGCCCAGGAACCATTATCACGGCGGAGGGGGTGGGAAATGGATTGGAATTTAAGGATTTTTTTAGTTACATTCCAGAGGGAGTTATCACTTGCAGATAGTGAGGAAAGATAGGAATTATAGAATTGGGATCTAAACGTAGCCAGTTTTTGTTTTACCTGCTTGGAATAATAGTTATATGATTTCCGATCATCAGGATGCCTGGTTCTTTGCCAGATGGTCCTAGAGCATCGTTTTCTATTAATAAGGTCCAGTAGGTCTTGGGGTAGAGGATTTATTTTGCGGTATTTTTTAGAAGGATAAGGTGAAGATGCAGTCCAAACTGCTTGTTGGATCAAGGTAGTCATGGAATATACTGCTTCATCTAGGTCTGCGGGTGTTTTTAAGGAAACTCTGAGGTCAATATTATCATCCAGTATTTGACGGAAGAGGTTCCAATTAACTGGCCCCCTGATAAATGAAGGTGGAGGTGGTTTGGGAATTGGTGATGTGGAGACCGTTAGGATTAGGGGACTATGGTCTGAGGAAAGATCATCAAGTCTTGAGATGCAATAATGAAGGGACCCTAGACCTTTGTGGATGAAAAAATCTAGGAGATCGGGATTGCGGTTAGGATCTGTTGGCCAGTATGTGGGAGAATTGGGTGAGAGGATGTTGCTGTGATGGGAATTAAGTGCAGATAGCAATGTTCGTCCTCGGGAATTTGTGGTTCTGGCTCCCCATTGCTGGTGTTTAGCATTTAAGTCTGCACCTAGAAGGAAGTGGTGTCCTAAGGAGTTAAGGAAGGAAGTTAATTGGGATTCTGAGATGGGTATTTTAGGCGGGGAGTATGCTGCGACTACTGCTATTGGGTAAAGGGAAGTTTGGATTATCACGGCAGTGGATTGTAGGAAATTATGGGTTAGCAAAGGGAATAGATGATGGGAAAGGGATTGATGGATAATTATGGCAGTGCCAGCATGTGCTGTTCCATCAGGATGGTCGGTTCGATAGATATGATAGTTGGGGATGTTAAGTGGTCGTTTGTTGGTAAGTCGAGTTTCAGTTATTAATGCTATATCAATGTTTTTGTCCTGTAATAAGATTGTTAGTTCGTTGACGTGATTTCGAATACCATTCGCATTCCAAAGGAGAACGGAGAGGGATTTGATTGGGGGCATTTAAGGATTTCTCGACAGTGGGATGAGGTTGGATACAACATTGGTAAGCAAGGAAATGAGAGGAGTGATGAGTGACCTGAATTCAGAGAGGAAAGAAGTCAATAGGCTTGTGAGGTCAGTGGCATTGGGAGGAGGAGGAATGAATGTCTGGTTATTAGGCCTAGGTTCAGAGATGGGATAAGGGTCTTGTGGTTGAGATGTGAATACTCGAGGTTGAGGTTCTTGTGGCAGGGCCTGAGTTTGTGTGGGTGCAGTGTCTCCTTTGAACATCTGAGCATAGGACACTCTTGTATTTACAGTTCTAGAGGGTTGTCTTGGTGGCCTGGATGGCCGTTCTTCTCTTGGAGCTGCATAAATTCTTGCTTTCAATTCCTTATATGTTTGGCAACCCTTGTAGTTTGCTGGGTGCCCTTGGTGGCATAAAGCGCATACTGCTGGTGTTCTTCTGGACTTCTGGCAGTCCTCAGTTTTATGTTGATCACCGCACCTGACACATCTAGGAATGTGGTGGCAATAGCGTTTCGTATGACCATAAGCCTGGCAGTTATGGCATTGTACAATGTCGCGCTTAGTGTAGGGCTTTTCTACAACAACGCTAGTGTAATAAAGGCGTGTGACCTTGTAGATTTCTTCGACCTGGGGCGTTCGGTCAAGGTCAACGAAGAATAGTGGGAGCGGTATTTTATTTTTTGTACCAGGCTGTTCTCTATCTTCCTTGAATATATTCACTATTTGTCGAACACGGAACCCCATCTCAGTTAGTTCTTCTTTAATGGCATCCAGCGGTGTTGATGGGTGTAATCTCCTGATCACCACCCTGAGCGCTCTCTCTTGGCGCAGTTGATATGTGTGATAATCCGCCTTAGTGTCAGATAAATACTTGACAATTTTTCTGTACGTATCTGGGGTGTCAGGCATTAATTTCGTGTCATTAGTGCGGCTTTGGCATACGTATTTACCTGAGCCCACTGTATTATTTAATTGTTGACACATTAATTGGAAATTTTTTATATTTCTAACGAATATTGGTGGAGGTTTAGGTTCACTAGGGATGGATACTGCTTCCATTTGTTCATTCTGTGTGTTTGACAGCACTTGGAATGGATTAGCTGTAAAAAAAGGCGATTCTTCTAGCGTACCTTGTATTGGTATAACTTGTGTTGACATATTTTGTGATGATGTGCCAGGTTGATTTTCAACTTCGTCAACTGAGCTCTCTGGTGTAGCTGGCGGGGTATTTTTTTTAGAGCGTCTAGCCCTTTTCTTGATGGGTGAACTCTTTGTGGTATCGAGACTCCTAGATCTTAAAGTTCGATTGTTTCCTTTGCTCGACATTACCATATGAAAATAGCGCATCTCATATTAATTTAATTAGAGGTAACTGTAATAATTTGGAAAAAAAAAATGTCCTTTATCAATTACGTATATATTACGCGAGTTTGTAGAAGTCCAAGTAACGTAGATCTGCTTCCGCCAAAGGGCAGCAGCCCACTGGTCGGATTAACGAATGTATATGGCCGGCTTGTTATCTATCACTATCCTCAGGTCTATTTACACTGTTCACAATGCCGTTATAAATGAGCGATTACTCACCTTGTTTATGTCCAGTTTCAACTTAATTGTTAACTTAACAGTTTACACTACTTTTTCACATATAACATGAATTATTTCACTGTTAATAAAGTCACTTAATAAGAGACGAAATAAAGAGTATATGTGTAAGGTTAACGCATGCGCAGAACTATTTATGAACTAGACTGTTCACATAAACACAGACCATTTTACGGGACTTGGTTATTTGGACTCAGGAGACCTCAAAACGTGTATTTACGTTAAAAACTCAGATTCAAAAATGTTCACGATGGCAATACTTACACTTAATATATATTACCTATGTACGTAAGTGAAAGTAAAATTATTAACTTCATTCCCCTTACTCTCTAAAACGGCTAATCCTTTTTAGGTCAAAAATCATTAATAAAAACTACCTCAGTTAACAGAGTTTATCTGAGTTAGCTAATAACTACCTCAGTTAATAATCTATTAATGAACTATATAAGTTAACTATTAATCTATATCTCAGTTAGCTAACTCGAGGATTCTCTCAATTGATGCTTTTAAGGTTAAACATCATTTACAAAAAAAATATCACCGTAAATCTCCTGGATACAATTTCACTGCCTCTCAGATCCTTCAACAATTTCCTCCCTTCTACGAACTTTTTAGTTCTATTAATATTACACTATTGTCCTTATTCTACAACCAGACAAACCTCTCAACAGTTTGACATCATAACACCTAGACCAATTAGACGACTCTCAATTCTTTAAAAAATCTTTGAAAAGATCATCCTGGAACAAATCCTACCCTTTATAGAATCCCAAAAATCTATGGCGGTAGTGGTGGATTATACCGTCCCCATATGGGAATCGAACACGCGCCGTAGTGGTCTATGCAATTGAACAGAGACTGCACTTATTTATTTAAATTTATTATTATTATTATTTTTCAGTTCGCGGAATTTAAACTCGTAGCATAAAATGTTTGCAGGAGCCTTAAATCGCTAGACCACAGCGGCTCCGCTTTTTTATTATTATTTTGCCTTTAATTTACATTATATTTTCAGTAAATACGGTGTAAATGAACTCTTTTTTCGTAATATAACCATTGTCTATATTGTGACTGAATGTTATATTAATCTAAAGCATAGATTAAATAAATAAGTGTGTGTGTGCGTACGTGCGTCCGGGTGTGTGTGTATTTTGGAAAATGCCTCAAATATCATTTAATGTAGTTTTTTTTCTCTTTATATTGAAGGTTGAATCTTGGAGATTTCTCCAAATTATGACACCTTTTCTATTCCTTTCTTAGTCAATGAACTTATTGTATAAAAATTGTTAGATTAGTTTATTTTTGTTTAGTTTAGTATCTTTTAGATTATATACATTTACTTTAGTATTATTACTATTATTGCTGTTTATTATTTTTATTCATTGTACATAGTATGAATGAACTACTCTATATCACTATTACTATTGTCCTTGAATGTGACAGATTGTAATATATCTCAATAAAGACTAATAAAAAAAAGGCAATTAACTACAGAATTAATCTTACAAAACATAATTAAATCATTTCTTTTTAAAGATGTCGAACAGAACCGTAGGTGAATATTAGATTAACGCGATGCAACCAGCCCCAAGGCCGTAGTAATTTATTCTATCAAGACCAGTTTCCTCAGATCGAAGGTTACTTTAAAGAGCGCATTAAGTAAGTTCTGCTGCTTTGTATTTCTGGGATCAGCTAATAAATAATTTGTTTTGTAATGTGACACTTATTTACGCTACATATTTATATGACCAATCGCAGAATTTATCACTCCATTTCAAGTATTTCTATTCCAAGAATCCAAGATTTATTGTCACGATTATCATCAGTCACGAATTATTGTAAAGTTTATTATGATTAGGTTAAGCTGCAAATCTTTCAATGTCTGTCCATGACTGCAGTTGCTGAACTGAAGATTCTTCTGAACTTCTTGTTTTACTACAATTTTCGTTCTTCCGAGGAAAAAAATGTATATAAATAATCATTGGTATTGGCTTTCAAAAGCTAAAGAAGTTGAATTCTGTATGACCATTTGAATAAAATTGCTGAGGAAACAAATTTAATTTTAGGCTAGTATAATTGTTAACTGTACTATTATATAAGACGATACCTGTTGGTAGGTTTGGATTGACAGCTGTAGAAGCAGCTCCAGAGAGCCAGATCCCGAAGGTGGTCGTTATCGATTCCACGCAGGTGTCGTTCAAAATGAGCACTACCTTTCCTGGACCCTGCCCGAGTTTCCTCAGTGTCGAGCTTATTGCACCGGCATTGTCCAGCACCTGGCGGAAGGTGGAATGCTTCTTCGTTCTCACATCTTCCTAAAATAAGATCGATCATAGTTAAGAAATAAACGTACAGTAGCATAACAACGTAAAAAGTTGATAGATAGATAGCTTTATTTACTAAAGATACGTTCTTGTATAATTAATAAAACTAGTCTTCCCCCAGTGTCGAAATTCGACTACAGCCATAAAAAATTTGAGGAAAACATATAATTAAAAAAAATTAATTAAATAGATAAAGAGTAAATTACGATTCTAAAATCCTCATTTATTAATATAAACAAATTTCAATTTCAATTAAAAGTCGAGCTTAAACTACTGAAAATTATTTATAAGTAATACAAAATAGACTCATTCAAAAATATTTAATTTCAATTTTAATTTATGTGTGTTAATATCACAATAAATATTCAGAACTTCTCTGTAAACAATCTTCTTTTTTAATGTCCTGTTATTGTTAAGTGCATAGCCTTTGCCATTGCCATTGAAAATATAAATTTCAATATTTTAAATGAACCTGCTCTACTTGCTGCCACATATGATTGTCACTATGCAATAATACAAACATTTTTCCAAAACCTTGACCCCACGCTTTGATTATGGTCATAGCAAATGCAGCCATTAATAGGAACGTTCTTTGAAAGTCGAATGTAAGTATTGTGTCAGAAAATATTAAATTAATTCTAAGAATTAAAACTCTTTAATTTAAAGTAGTCCCCGTCAGTACTTCACTCTCATTCGTGTTTCATTAACTAATGATTGTGCAGTATTTAAGTTAAGAATGAGCACAACTATAGAATTTACTTAGAACAATCCAAAAACATTCAATCATATCATATCTTCAAATAATAGTCACGATTACTTCATTAAATGTAAAATTTTCGGTTTATCAAAAAACAAAATAATGGAAATAGACTTTGCAAAATAAAAAGTACTAAATGTTTAAATTGATGTATCTCTGCAACAAACAGTCCGATTTAAATGATTTTTTTTATTTTGTAGGGAATCAAGAAAGCTTTCAAATTGGCATAGTATAAAAAATGTGTTTTGAGTTATTCGGAAATAAAATACTGAATTCATCATAAATATTTATGCAGATCGTTTTCGGGCAAGTATGTTATTTACATAAATTATAAAGGTTTCAAGGGAAAGATTTTAACCAAGTTTCATTGAAATCTTATTGGCGCTACAGTCTAAATCGTATCACTTTTTCGGCCGCCATTTCGAAAGAAAAGGTCTGATGATAATGAAACGTACACAAAAACACTTCTAAATATTATTGCGACGTTGTGTCAAAATTTAAAAGAAAGCGGTGAAGAACTTTCGGAGATTAGCCGTTTTGAACAAACTACCATTTATATTTTTATTTACTTACTATTATATATTTTTATTTATTGATAACACTGAAGCTCGTAAATATCTATTAAACAAAAAAAGAAGGAAGAAAATCGGTTGAATAATAGAGGAGTAAAAGGGGCTGAACCGTTTTGTGTTTGCCTATTTATATAATGATACCATCACTAAACTTTATTGTTTTAAGAGTCTGCTATATTGAATATAATATGAAATATATATACAATGAGAAAACTAGGGAAATGGAATACTCTCTTTTATTATACACATAATTTATACAGATTGATATGTACATTATGGTGGAACGAAAACACTTTCTTCGGCGGACAACTTTCAAATGGTATTCAAACGTTGTATTTTTATGCCAATAGACATAAAGACACTACAAAAATATATTTACATCTTGAGATTCCACCAAAGACTTAAAACATAAGGAAGAAACTCAACATTCACCAAACTATTCAACGATTTTACATTAAAGAATAAAAAAATCTAAATGAAAAACGTTATAGCCAATGACTGTATCGGGTAGAGGCAAATTCAATCAATAAATAAATAATTGATATAAAAAGGACACTTTTGATTGCTATTAAAAAGATGAACCCCGAAAATCACTCGTTTTTCGTTCCACCTTAACATAAACAGATAAATATTGGGGATGAGTACGAAAATACAGTTTCACCTATTCTTTTTTTAATTTAGCACTGGAATGTATCATTAGGAAAAATCTCGTTTTGTCTAAACGGCAAGGAAGGGAAGAAAAAAATTACCATTATTATAAAGTAATCACTTGAAAATGTTCTGGGCCAGGAGTCTCCAAACTACAGCTCGCGAAAGTTTCTTTGATTATATGGCAACATTCTAAAACTCAAACAAGAGGTTACTATAACATGTATTGGATGATTTTTTTCTCTTAGAAAGCCCATTTCACAACTGAAGTGTCATTTGTTGAACATGATATTTTTTCCATCACAAATCATGGGCCGCGAGACTTAGTTCAGGTCTCGGGCCAAAAAGTTTGAAGACGCCGGTTCTAGACCCTAACATGTCCCCGGTTCTAGGCCATAATACGTCAAATCCCCAAATATATTATTACAGTAAAGCTTGAAATCGGTTTTGTACCAAATATAAGCTCCTGTCATGCTCAAATAACATGAATGGAGTACCGTTGGATTCAAAATTTCACGGGGGGTTAGCGAATCGTATTCTCCACTTTTGATTTTCTTTCTAAAATAAATAAAGTCGATACAAACATTTTGCTAGGCTTCGATAATGGAACGGTGGTAGGCCTGTACATCGATATGGGACAAATTTGACCTTGAAGATGTTGAGGCGAACAGCAAGATCCGGATAGTTCCTTGGGAACTATCGGATCCTGCTTTTTTAAGTCCGAAAACATACTATTTTCGAGATCACGCAAGGCATAGTGATCGCATCCACACAACCTTACGTTAATTGTAGTACTGTCATTGAACAAATGTCTCATTTCGTCGACTTGAGGCCTCTATGTCCGAGAGAAGAGGAGTTTGTATTATTTATCGATGATGGTTTTGATGGGCAAGCCATATCATTATTAGTTCTTCACCAAAACTCAAGATTGAGCCACCAATTTCGAAGGCTTCCTTCTCCTTCAGGTGGGCAAAATAGTCCAATCACCTCGAAAATTCAGGCAAACAAGTTATGAAAGAAAACAAACTCTTTTTAATAACTAAAAAAGTACACATTTTTCCAATTTTTAGCAAACATACAACTTATTGAAATTTGTAAACATGTTGTTTCTAAACATTAATGAAGATTTAAATTAATTTTAGTTTCCTTTCTCGATTATATTTATCAATAAAGCAACAATTGATTTCTTTATCTTTTGATACGTTGCATTATTTTATTTTATTATTGATTTGGCATTTGATAACAACATGCTGTGCGAATGTTTCGCACGGGCCTACTAGTAAACTAAATAATACAGTAGGTCAGTGCCGGCCTTAGACATTCGGCGTCCCCCGGGCAATGACATCACCTGTCACTAAAAATTAAATTTACTTCTTGAGCTATATTAAATTAAATAATATTTGTAGTTTAATTTCATTCAATATATCTCTAATTTAGTTGCTTTATGATTAGCCTAAAACTATTTATTCTCGAATGCTTCGTAAATTTTGTTTAATTCCAAACAAGTGATGGGCGCCCCTCATCATTGGCGTCCCTCCAGGTTGGCGCCCCGAGGAAGTCGCCGCCCCTGCTGAAGGCGATTCTTTAGAAATGGAAAAAAAATCTATTGATATTTTTCTGCATGAACATACATCCCATTGAATATAGAGTTCTATTTCTTTCTATGCTATTTAAGTATGAAAATTTCAGTATTTATTCAATGAACTGAATGTATCATATAATATGAACTATCTTGCCTTTTTTTAGGAATATATACATTTCAGTGTTGTTCAACAACTAAATAAATGTAAAAATAAAATAAACTAGTATTATATAACTGAAGCAATGTTAATATTATGAAGGAGAATTACAAACTTGTTTTGGTAAATAGCTGTCAGTTCTTCTTCCTCTTTAAAATTTAACAAATGAACTGATAATATCTACATAAAATAAGGCATAAGCGGCTCAGTTTCAAAATGTTACAGGCATACTATTAGATATATTAATTATAATACATATATATGACTAATAAAAAAATCGATAGCCATAACCGTGAGCCAAAGAATAAACAAATAAACTGAAACAGGATTAAACTCAGAATTTCAGCTTTATTTTCAGGTCTCAATATTATTAATTTATGAAACGTAAAACAATAAAATCGCGAGAAATATGAATGTTGTCTCACCTTCATAGTAATTTTATCTAGGAGGAAAATGTTCAGCATAAAAATAGGATATTTCATATAATATTTTTTTAAACCAAAATTTAGAATCGTTATGTGGAACATTATTATTTCTAAAAGATCTCTTGGTCTTGCTAAAACCGATACTATGTTCCTGCATAGGTTACATACCAAATAGACTCGATCTCCGTGCCTCCTGCAAGAGTTGATCATCTCCTGCATGATGGGAGTATCGGGCAAAGCCAAAGGCTTGCCGTACAGTATTCTTGCGGCCATCTGTCGTTGAGGATCGGATGCAAACTGAGGCAGAGACCAGAATCTGGGTACTTGAGCGTCCGTTACTGAAATGGGAAAAGATCGGAGACGGCCGAACCTTGTCGACAAAATACGAAACCGCCCCTCCTATTCTACCAAACCCGTTTTCCCTCCAGTTTAGTTTACAATTTTGATTGGAAAATTTAATTCTTAACAACAGAGTATGTAAAAGTAAAAACTGTAATCAGTTGAGAGACCTCTTTTTAATTGATTTAATTTTAATTTAGAAGATTGCTGCAGTGTGGGTACCCAGCAGCGGTGTGTACATCATGTTGATATACTTTATGTCTTATTTAAAAAGCAGAAAAAAACATTTATAACAAATATTTGAAATAAGTTATTCGGAACAAGTGGATCAGATTGATAAGAAAATTATAACATTTGTAGAAGAATTCCCAAAAATCCATAGTGCCGTAACTTTGTTTACAGGAAAATAATGTATTTATTGGGTATTTTTTACTCTTTTCTTGACAGTTGATTACATTTAGCACCTAAAATATATGCGAAATAATTTAAAAGAGCTTTATTTTGATTTTAATAAAATTAATTAATTTATTTTAGTTTTATTCCAATAAAATTTTATAATTTTGATTGCTTAAGCATTCAGCTCAGATCACTCACAGAAAAGAATACAGACCAATGGAAAAAAATTATCTTTTTCATTTTTGTGGGGCTTCAGCCGTCCACTCTTCCGTGGATCTACCAATTGTTTACATGTTGACAACTTCTGAAGTGCAAGTATTGGCAAAGCGTAGAAATTACACAAATATTATAAGATATAAATAATATAAAAGACGTATAAAATCAATGAAAAATATCGATATTTTTCGAAGGGAAGAGGGCTAGGCATTGAATGGAAGTCTTGTATTAGTAATTGCTACAATAGAATTACATAAATATTTATATACATTGCTTGTCCTAAAAAAAATTATTTAAACAAGCAAATAAATAAATAGGCTTTTATTTATTATAAACATCATTAATTTTTTTAAAACGTTCAATTTTTGTGAACTTCAAATTTTCAATTCCTTTTCCATCGAAGATATTAAATCTCCAAATTATTAAAAACACATAAATGTCAAACTTTAATGAATCATAAAAAAAATCCCCTGGCAAGTAAGGTCAGTATAGCTTCTTCACTGTTTTCATTGGCTAAAAAATATCTATATTACAAGATCTAACATTTTTCGTATGAGAATAAAATCTTTGGGAGAAACCAGTAATTCCTCAACATTTACGGGTTTGATATTCACGATTTTGTACATTGGATACTAAAATATGAAAGAGTTCTGCATTTGCAGATTGCATATTTGATGATTCGTGATTAAAAATATAATTTCATTATAATTTCATACTGTTAGTTTTACATGAGAGTACAAAAACTTTTTTTTTTGTGATTTATTAGTATAATAAAACCTAACTCCCAAATCAGATGATCGATGCCTTCCACATTTCACTGCCATTATATTATTAACAATTATTTATATTAATTTTAATTAATAAATGGATTTCAATGAAATTGATACCAGGTTATTTCTCCTTCATGTCTAAAATGTAAAACGCGAGTGGAAATTTTCGATTCTGAGCTCATAATTTTTTTAACCTCTCGCACGAATACAATGCTTTTCTACCTTCGGTTGTGAAGAAGCAAAAATATATGTGATATATTTAATAGGAATGACATTTATTCTGGTTGGCCTACTTGGGCACCTACTCACCACACAAGAGGTAAGTGTTTAATAGTACTTCTTCGCATAGAAAAAAATGTTTAAAAACAATTGAAAAGTACTGAATCATAGAATAAATGTTTTGAAAAACACTTGAAAGTATTTGCCCCAGACTGTTGCTCAGTTACATAATGTGAGGTTTTATTACGTGCAAACAACAATCACATATTTTATTTAGCCTCAAGTAATTTGAGGCTAAATAAATATAACTCAAGATGGAAAACAAACTGTTCAAATGCACCGCAGATTACATTGCTTCGTTTTAATGTGGAAATTCTATTCGTTTATTAACGATTTTCTTTTTATTTAAAAGTCTAAAGATGAATTTATGCAGGACAAACTATCCGCCTCGAACGGAATCATTACCACGTATGGAGAGCGTCCCACGGGTGGCAAATTTGGGGATAGTCGGTGGAAATTCCTTGGAAGTTCATGCCGGCTAATTCCGATGGACTCGTTGACCAACAATGAGAGAGGCCCTCCCGACTTGCAGGAGGGTGTGACGTAGGATTGAACGCCCAGTAATGAGAGATGGTAAAGAACTAAGGCTCAAAATAAACACGGATAAGACAAAATATAAGGTTAGCATAAAAAATGGTGGCCGATATAGAAGGTAATATTTTAGAACACGTAGAGAAGTTTAGGTATCTAGGGTTTACGATACTACTAGAAGGGATTACAGCAAACTAGAAAAAACGAATAATACATATACATACACACACATACATACACACACACACATATACATACACACATACATATATACATATACATACATACACACACATATATATATATACACACACACATGTTTGTGTATATATATATATAACTTTTCTTATATATATATATATATATATATATATATATATATATATATATATATATATATATATATATATATATATATATAGCATTTCCAAGTCAATTTCAACCTTTTCCAAATCAAATTCAACCTTTTCCATTTCAAATTAAACCTTTTCCAAGTCAAATTCAACCTTTTCCATTTCAAATTCAACTTTCGAATTTTTGACAATTTTCGATTTTTTTCGAAATGAAGGCCACTTACTATATTAACGAAGGTATAGCTTTTGAAAAATACAAAAAAAAATTTGATAACGCGGTTGCATATCCATTTATTTTAACATTTTAGATTTCTTCAGTGTGATATTTCTATGTCATTTCCAAGTCAAATTAAACCTTTTCCAAGTCAAATTCAACCTTTTCCAGGTCAAATTAAACTTTTTCCAAGTCAAATTCAACCATTTCCATTTCAAATTAAACCTTTTCCAATTCAAATTCAACCGTTTTCATTTCAAATTAATGCTTTAATTTTTTGTAAATCTTATATTTTTTTAAAAAATAATGGCCATCCCCTCCCCCCCTCCAATATGAAAGTCTATTATTATGCTCTTCTAAGTAGAATTTTCACTTACGGATATGGAGCTGTAGATTTTGAAAATGACCTCCATTTTAAGATTAGGCCACCGCGTTTCGACTTATTTGAGCTTTTCGGATATTTTTCATATGAGGGTGTATTTTTATGTTTCCGGAGCTGTAGATTTTGAAAATGACCTCCATTTTAAGATTAGGCCACCGCGTTTCGACTTATTTGAGCTTTTCGGATATTTTTCATATGAGGGTGTATTTTTATGTTTCCGGAGCTGTAGATTTTGAAAATGACCTCCATTTTAAGATTACGCCACTGCGTTTCGACTTATTTGAGCTTTTCGGATATTTTTCATATGAGGGTGTATTTTTATGTTTCCGGAGCTGTAGATTTTGAAAATGACCTCCATTTTAAGATTACGCCACTGCGTTTCGGCTTATTCTAGTTTTTCGAATTTATCCAATTTAAAGGTCTACTTTTATGATGCCGGAGCCTTAGTTTTTAAAATGATTTACATTTTAAGATTAGGCCACTGTGTTTCGGTTTTTTAAGTGTTTTTGATTTTTCCTTCGAATAAAAAACAAAATATGAAGGATTAATTTATTTTTCAATAAATAAATAAAAATATCTAATCAAAATAAATAAAATATGTATTGTCTCATTTTTAATTTAATTTTAGTTATCTTTTTTAATGTTGTGGTCTCCTGTCACAAAATTATAAGATTTCAAACAATTAGCTGAAAAATCTGAATACGGAAGGTTAAATTTATTACCAGCTGCTTTTCGGCTTTTTAGTTTGTATTCTGTGGTTAATTCAACTTTAGCTTCATAATATTTATTTATTTATTCATACTCGAAGTATGAATATTAATATTATAAATATCAATATTACATATTGATGAAACTTTGTATTGTAAAAATCCAAAATGAAGCCTAATTATTCGAGATGCAGCGGCTTAATCATAAAATGGAGCTTAAATATTAGATAAATTTAAATATTAAAGATTAGAAACATTTCAATGCGTCTCGGATAACATATAAGTAGATTCTTATACCGAAAAAGTAAAAAAAAAAGAACTTTTATAATCCAAAACACAGTGGCATAAACTTGAAATTGGGTCATTTACAAAATGGGGGAAATCTGCTGCTCCAGGAACATAAAATTAGACCTTTATACTTGTGAAACGCAGTGGCGTAATCATAAAATAGAGATCATTTTCAGAATCTACGGTTCCGAAAACATAAAAGTAGACCTTTAAATTGGCTAAATTCGAAAAACTTAAATAAGTCAAAATCCAATGGCGCAATCATAAAATGGAGGTCATTTTCAAAATGTACAGCTCCGGAAACATAAAAATACACCCTCATATGAAAAATATCCGAAAAGCTCAAATAAGTCGAAACGCGGTGGCCTAATCTTAAAATGGAGGTCATTTTCAAAATCTACAGCTCCGGAAACATAAAAATACACCCTCATATGAAAAAAATCCGAAAAACTCAAATAAGCCGAAACGCGGTGGGCTAATCTTAAAATGGAGGTCATTTTCAAAATCTACAGCTCCGGAAACGTAAGAATACACCCTCATATGAAAAAAATCAGAAAAACTCAAATAAGTCGAAACGCGGTGGCCTAATCTTAAAATGGAGGTCATTTTCAAAATCTACAGCTCCGGAAACATAAAAATACACCCTCATATGAAAAATATCCGAAAAGCTCAAATAAGTCGAAACGCGGTAGCCTAATCTTAAAATGGAGGTCATTTTCAAAATCTACAGCTCCGGAAACATAAAAGTAGACTTTATATTGGATAAATTCTAAAAACTTAAATAAATCAAAACACAGT